GGGACTGAGAGCACAACGCGAAGCTCACTAGATGGTCATTCCTTATCTTCAATTGCCTGTGGGACAGTCAAATAGTCACGCTTTGCAAGAAACATTGGGCTTGGCGGCTATTGGGGATGCGGGATATGCGAACGTTGCGAGCTGAACGAGAAAGGGCATTTTCGTAACCCCACATAATCCAAGACAAACATGATCAACGGCGCCAGAGGGAAGCTTGTTGCCCACTCCCGCCACTCACTGGGCGTCTGCTTTAGCTAGCGTGTTATACGTTGCAGTCGGTTGCTATATCCCGTTCAGACCGCAAGCACGGGGGTGTGGGTGTCTTGTCACTGTCATGTTTGCGCGGTGACGGCTGCACGGCATCGCGAAGCTATCTGATAGGCAAACGGGAGGAGGTTCGGCTGGACGAAGATCGCAGAGGCAGACAACCGATGGAAAGGCAGAGCAGAGCAAGCATTGAAGCGACTAAACCGTTTCGGTGGGCGGACACATCCTTGTTCATGTTCAGAGTTTCCACGCTCGGCTCCTCCATCTGCCGCGCACCGTCTCATCGCTAGCGGCAGATCCAGCGGTTTGGGTCCCCACCGGCGCCAACCACCATGCTCTTCTCTTTCTTCGTTTTGGGTCTTTTGTACCCTTGCTGGAATGGTTCTGCTGCTGCTACTTAGTGAGAGGAGGTGAAGATGGAGATCCTGGTTGGGTCCTGCTTGAAATTGTCTAGCCCATGATTGGACTGCTGATGCGTTTCGCTGCGGTGAGGACACACTGCGTAGAGTAGCGGGGGGTTGCAGTGATGTCTTGAACCATGAAAGCGCAAGTCGTATTCGGAATCGTCATCCATTCTGGCGGGGTCGTTCGTTTGGATTCGCCCCGGGGGAGGAGGCATCCTTGCAAGGCGTCCAGACGAAGTTTGGGGATTGGACTAGGGGACCCCGTCCTGGATGGCCCGTGAAGTGAGGGGGACGGACGGGCAAAAAGGCAGAGCTGTTGTTTCTGCGTCTGCCTATGCCCTTTCTCTCTTCTCTGTCGTCTACTAGCGCGGCGTTTGAAGTGGTTGACGGCGCTGGACTGTCTTCATTAGTCGGTTCGAGTGGCGGGCGCCGGCCTTGTATCATACTGACGCTATCCCACGTTGTGGACATACTTTACCAAGTTGCTTTCCCACCTCGTCTACACCTTCCCCCCTCCTTCTTCAACCCTCGAGCAGAGGAAAAGCTTCGGGCAGAGCGCTATTTGAGCTATCACAAGACGAACCTCCTCCTCCCTCCATAGTCCACCTCGAGACGAAAGAAAGGCACAGACAGACCACGATGTCGGTCTCGACGCTCCTCTCGACGGCGCTGCACCCGCAGAACTGGCCGACGAGCATCTGGGTGCTCCTCCTCACGGGCCTGGCGTACGCGGTGGGCTTCCTCGCGTACCGGCCGTCGTTCCCGCGCAACGCGCCGAAGCTGTTCAAGAGTTACCCCGTGCTGGGGGCGCCGCGGTTCTTCACGGACCGGGGGAACTTCCTCACGGAGGGCCGGCGGTTTGGGCGGTCGGGGAACTGGAGCTTTTATTTTGGAAAGATGAGGATTGTGGGGTTGTCGGGGGAGCCGGGGCGGAATCTGTTCTTTGAGAGTCGAGAGTTGGATTTTACGAAGGGGTGAGTCTTCTCTTTCCCGGTTACATGGTTTGGTAATGGAGGACAAGAAGAGAATGACTGACGGTTGGGATGTTAGATACGGCGCCCTCTTCAACGCGACACCCAAGATCGAGGTATCCCCCGACCAATCCGTCGAGGAGGACTTCGCAGCCAAGTTCAACCGCCTCATCGTCCGGCTCCTACGCAAAGAGCAGCTCTGCAAACGCCTCCACCTCCTCGTCCGCGACACGCACGACACGACCAAACGCCTCGCCGCCCGCCCCTCCAAGATCAGCGACCCGTTCGAGGACATGTACCGGCTCGTGTTCCAGCTGACGATGCGCATGGTGGGCTGCGACGAGATTGCCGAGGACGACGCGCTGCTCGTCAAGACGCTGCGGATCTTCGAGGGCATCGACGCCGCGAGCACCGCCACGAAGGTCATGTTCCCCTGGATGCCGACCATCGGGCACTTCCGGCGCGTGTACTCGGGCGCGCAGATGTACATGATCCTGGAGCGGGTGATCAAGGAGCGCAAGGCGAGGGGTGTGGACGGGAGCGATGCGCTGCAGTACCTGACGGACGAGGGGTACACTACCGTCGAGATGGTGGCGTTCATTGTGGGCGCGCTGTTTGCGGGGTTGATTAATAGCGGGATCAACGCGGCGTATTTGCTGTGCTTTTTGGGCGCGAACGAGGAGTGGTACGGGCGTGTGCAGGCGGAGGTGGACTCTGTGATTGCGAAGCACCGGCGCAGCGAGGAGGAGACGCCGGAGGAGGTGTTTGCGAGGTTTGAGGTGGAGGACTGGGAGGCGGAGTTCCCGATGGTGGATTTGGGGCTGAAGGAGACGATTCGGCACACGATTACGGGGTGCGGGTTCCGGTATAACGGGACCGGGAAGGATATCCCGATCGGAGACTCGGGGGAGGTGGTCCCGGCGGACGCGTTTGCGGTGTATCATTTTGATGATACGCATATGAGCGAGCGGTTCTTCCCGGAGCCGTTGAGGTGGGACCCCGGGAGGTTTTTGCCGCCAAGGGAGGAGGACAAGAGGGATGCGAGGGCGTTTAACGGGTGGGGGAGCGGGCGGCATCCGTGTTTGGGGATGAGGGTGAGTTTTTCCTTTTCCTTCTTTGTGTTTTTGCTTTTTTGGGGATGTCTTGGCTTGTTGGAGATGAGGCTTGCTAACGAGATGCGCTGCGACAGTTTGCCAAGCTGGAGACGTTTGTGGCGACGGCGATTTTCGTGGCCAAGTTTGACTACCACCTGTGCGATGCGGACGGCAAGAGGATGGACAAAGTGCCGGAGGACTCGGTGGACCGCAACACGCACTCTGCGTCGAAGCCGAGGAACAACCTGTACTTGAAATATACCGAGAGGACGCGGTGGGCGAAGGCGTGAGGGTGTTTGGGGTGAGATAGGGAGATTGGGTAGGAAGAGAACATGTCTCGTTTTGAAGACGTCTGTGAGCGTGTCATGTCATTGCATGTGTTTCTTACCGTGAGAGGCGGCTTATGGAAGTTTTGATGTAAAGTGCCAGTTTTCTTATTCCATCATCATGAATGATGGCGATGATTTGTGTGAATGGTTTCTTTTCGTTTCCCGGCCACTCATTCGGCGAAGATGTGACCAACATATGAATGTCCGAAATAAGCTGTAGATGCCACCACCGAAAGTCTAGACCACCGAACGCCGAAGCGGAGGACGCCCCGCCACCCTGACCCGAACACTGTGATTGGCTGGGCGCATTGGGCGGTCGCTTCGCACCGGCACGTCACTGCGCAATCTCATTCATCTCAACCCAGTTCCGTCTGCACCCAGATCTGGACGTCCATCCCCCATCTCCGGCGTTTGCCCCCAACTTCACTCCTGCTCTGTTCATTTTCTCTCATTTGACTTACTGCAGAACGCGGGAAGCTTCTCTAGATCAGCGGGAAGAACTTGGAGCATTGACGAGGAACCCGGCATCGGCGCTTTCATCTTCATACATCGGATTCGGACCTCACGCCCAGCTCAGTGAGCAACGTCCGGCCCGCAACTCCGACGAAGGGAGCTGGTGGTGGCATCATCATCCGGACATCTCCTCTTTGCCACATTCACCAAGCAAACCCCCCTTCACAGCACCAACAATGGTCGTCGTAACGTACCCCAAAGAATGCGAAGTGGTCCAGCCCGCTCCGCCGCGCGGCCGGGCCGCGACACCGCTCTTCCTCCTCCACGACGGCGGCGGCACCACCTTCGCCTACCACTGCCTCTCCCCTCTCGACCGCGCCGTCTTCGGCATCGCGAACCCGCGCTTCACCTCCGGCACGGAGTGGCCCGGCGGCGTGCCCGAGATGGCGCGCGCCTACCTGCGCATGATCCGCAACACCGTCGCGGGGGCCGAGTACCCGCCCATGGCGCCGTGCACTTTGACGAAAGACGGGCGGCGGCGGTGGAAGATTTTGTTAGGAGGATGGAGCCTGGGCGGGCTTTTGTCGTTGGAGATTGCGCGGTTGCTGGTCACGGGGAAGAACGAGGGCGGCGTGGACGAGGGCGCGGGAGAGGGCGGGGACGAGGTTGAGATTGTGGGGCTGGTGATGATTGACAGCGTGTACCCCGTCTGGCCGGTGGGTTCGGAGGTGAAGATTGGGACGTGGATCGAGACGGAGGTGCCGGAGCACAAGAACCTGAAGCTGGCGCGGCGGGCGATGAAGCTGGCGGGCGGGATGGTGAAGGTGTGGAAGATGCCGCGGTGCGGGGCGGCGTTCCGCAACGGGGTGGACTACGAGGTGAGCGAGGAAGGGAAGGATGTGGAGAAGTCGTTTTACGGGAGCAGGGCGGAGAAGGAGACGGCCGAGGTCGTGTGGGATCGGCCGCCGAGGGGCGTGCTTGTGCGGGCGGCGGATTGTGTGCCGATGCCTGGGGAGGGGATCAGTCCTGTGGATGTGTATCGCGGGGATGCGAAGTTGGGGTGGGATGGGTATTGTCCTGGGTATGTTGAGAAGACGTTTGTGACGAAGGGGAACCATTTTGATATGTTTGCGTGGGGGTATGTTGATGAGATTACGGAGAGGGTGGCGGAAGCCTGTCGGTACTTGGAGGGATGATTGTGAGGGATGGAGGTGATTGGAGCACTGGGTTTCTGATGACTTTGAGGTCTTAATACAGGCGCATGGCTGGGAAGTTTTGGATAGACTGCATACGATGTCGGGCACACGGGACCACAGACGACATCATACTGAAGGCTCACGTAGAGAATGTATCTTGCTTATGCTAAAGACCTTATTCTTTACGCAGCCTGTGGGTGCGATAGTTCGCACGAGTGCCTGCCGAACGAGATAGAAAGCTAGCAGGTGCCTCAAAACGATAAAAAGACAGCTGGCAGCAAAAGATTGCGTCCGCCGGGGTTCGAACCCAGGTCCCTGGCTGTCATTCTCTGAGAGAGTGGGAGGCCAGAATGCTAAACCACTGCACCACGAACGCGCTTTGATTTGAGATGCTGAGGATGACGGCAGGAACCGTCATAGGGCGGCGGACGCGGGAATGCAGTCAGTCTCGCTGAAAGGGGGAGTCGCCAACTGGGTGCTCCTGCCTGTTTGCTTCACAGAGGCGAATCGGGCAAGCGCCGGAGTGTGGACCCACTCACCCGGAGGACCAGTGCCGTCCTAAGGCCCGGGCTTTCTCACCGCTCCGGCACGGCGACGGGAGGATGCAGAATGATCGTTTGCTTGAATTTAGGATCTAGCTTCAACGTTTCGAAGCAACTAAGCCACACAGCTGCTCACTCGTCCATTCAGTTCACACCCTCCACCCCCGTCGCCACCACAACCCTCTCCTTCTCAACAACAACCGCCCCCGGAACAGCGCCCTGCCCACCCACGATCCTCGCCGGCGCCTCCCCCCTCGCCCACGCCTCCAGCGGCGTCGTCAACACCTTCCGCAGCGCCGCGAACCCGTACCCGACAACGTACATCATCAACAGACTGAACATCGCCCACGTCACCGAGACAACCTGGAAGATGAGCCACGGGCTGTCCTCGAGCGAGTCGCCGAACGTGAAGCCGATCTTCTCCTCGAACTCGACCAGCGCCGTGGTGAAGTTCTGCCGCGACTCGTCGTCGTGGAAGAAGCCCTTGCCGCCGGCTGCCGTGTCCTCCTTGTCGTCGGCGTCGAGGGTCGAGGCGAAGAGGAAGAGCCCGCCGAAGAGGACGAGCAGGCAGAGCATGAAGAGGATGCGCGCGAGGTGGAGGATCCAGGTTATGGAGAAGAGGAGGAGGACGAGGGCGCCGTGGGGGGAGCCGTTGTCTGCTGTTGCGAGCCAGGTGGCGAGGTTGCCTTGGGACGAGCGCGGTGTGTTTGGGGTTGGTGCGCGAGTTGGGGTGGAGGCGGCGACGATGAGCTTGGCGACGAGGAAGGTGAGGAGGGAGGGGAGGGCGATGAGCTGGAGGAGGCCTGGGTCCTGGCCGAGAGCCGTCATGGCGACGCATACGAGGATCATGAGGCTCCATGAGCCGAGGATGGAGACGGCGAGGCCGGTGTAGAGCCACGAGGTGGCCTGGCGGAAGATGTTGGCCATGTGATGGGTGGTAGACGGCCAGGTCCCGATGAGCTTAGATTGATGACACGAGCTTGGGGATTAAGGCGTTCAGGTGGCTGACGACCTGGATATATTGTCAGTCGCCGGATGGTAATGATACACAAAAGAGGGACTTACCATATAGAAGAACTCTCTCGATCAATTTGTCCGAGTTCTTGGCCTGTGATTGACAGTCATCGTGGGATGAGATGGGAGGAAGGTGATGATGAAGACGAAAAAGGGGGTCCACTGTCGTCTGCCTGGATCCTTCTGCTAACCGAAAATAGACTAGCGCGCGTCCGAAGTTCTGCTCCGATGACTCCCCCAAGTACGGATATCCGACACTTACAAATCTAGCAAAGACTAAAATCTCATCCCAATCCAAATTCTATTCATGGATCAGAAAGGGGTCTATGGGAAAATGAACTTTGGAAGATAAATGCCAGGTTTGACCGAATGGTGGCCATAAGTAATTACCCCGTCTTCCTTCCTACGACCCTCCGACGCGCCGCTTAGAGGCCGTTACTTAAATGAGCCTTGCATGGATGAGGGAGGGTATCGAAGTTTGTGAGGGTCAATCATGCTTTAAAGTACCAAAAATCGTGTTTTAAATATTTCCAACCTCCATGTTTTGCGTTTTGATCCATGCGCTTAAATTCATAGCTACTCTCAACCTGTATGCGCGCAAAGACGTCGAGCAGAACGTTTCTCGCTGCATTTGTCGTCCCTTTCGTATTTCTTGACGAACCTATCAGCTCCATCCTCCATCAGTCACTCTTGCTCGCTGCGAATAGCTCGAAGGTTCCTGGTGACATGAAAAATACAAGTAATGAAAATGCCCCTAAACCGCGGCTTGAACTCATATGAATTCAAATTCAGTCAACTGGCTCTCATCTTCCGGCCAATATTCTCCTTTCATTACTCCGTCGATTATACTGGGACCCACAAGCACGAAACTCGATCCCTGGGGACGAACAACGAATGGCAACGTGAGCCCAGCGAAGACGCATATCAAGTCACCCGGCTCGAGGCCGCAGGGACCGATCCCACAAGTACCATTCGTCGTGAAAAACGCCCTTCCCGTCCTGAAATAGTCCGCAAAGTCTTCATCCTGAGAGGCCTTCCAGTATTTAATCTTCGCTGCACGAGGTTTTCTTGTGAGCCTCCATCCCTCCGATTCTAAGCTCAGAAGCAATATCAAACTCGTGAAACTTTGCATCCTCATATTCTGGTCTGGAGATGCGACCGGTTTGTCTCTCGAATCTTTGGCATTTGGGGCACTCAGCTCGGATACCCAGATAGAGACTGCACCCAGAACTGCATTTGCAACAGCTGGGCTGCAAGTCCTCCCGTCTTTGGCTTCTGGCTCGGAAGGATGGTGAAGTCTGGGCCCAATGTGCGCGTTGTCTACTTCCCCAATGATTCGCCCTTCCAAGTAAAGCTTTTTGTTGTCTTCCGAGAACCTGCACCGATACTGGCTGGTGCCGGATGGCTTGAACATAAACGCTAGCGATCTGTAGTTCCAAAATCGCTCCGGGATGTCGTTGCCGGCCCAGTCGACCGCCCAAGATGGTAAGTCTTTCAATGCTGTCCAGCGACTTGCCTCATACACAATGTTCGATGACTCGTGCCCCTGAAGTATGTACTTAGTTGCTTCCGTAAATATGGAGGCGGTGGAGCGGTTGTAGTCAACTTCTACCTTGCCGAATGTATGAGGGTATTGACTTCGTAATGCAAACACCTTGTCCCTCGGGTCAGAGGTCTTCATTGATATGAAATCCGCTGCCCTGTAAAAATGAAGATCTCTGAAGACAATCACTCTACGTGGATTCTGAGCTCTGTTGAAGACGTCCTGATGGAACCACATCTCGCTGCGGATGTTGTCGTGTCCGTTGCCGACCATATCGACTGCCTTGTACACCAAGTTCAGCCCTATGACTTGAGAATCTTGGCACAAGACTTTGACATTGACATGTGCAGCCTCTTGTAGAGTCCAAGCTCGAGTCCAGGAGGGCGCATCGCACAAAAGCTCAAGACTTTTCTTGTCACGGCAGGCTATCTTGTGTTAGCTTAAAAGCGTTATGGTCTTCGCGGTCTACATGGGTACTGGGATGGCAGTACCTTTGGCAAATATTCGAGTTGCCGTGTTTGAGATCCAGAGCTTGAGGTCCTTTAGTAATATCTTTTCGAGACCAGAGGTTGGAGGGTTTCTCAGGTCTTCGATCCAATCCAGTCTTCGGTGCGACAAGAATGATATTGTCTTGATGTCCTTTGGTGCCCATTGCTCTCCCAGCCAAACGATAACGAACTGCGCCTGGCGATATATATCTGCCATCATGCTCACTTGCACGTTCTTCTCTTCAGTGGCGGCTTGGTTGATGCATACGGCGTCCACCCAAACCCCAGTTCCTGCTCCCTGCACCAATTTCCGCAACTTTCTCAAAGCCGTAGCGCAATTTGGAGTGATGAGAATGGTTGAAGTTGAAGATCCGAAAGCACCTGATGCCGAGTCTTCGTGAACAAACATGGTTTGACTTGGTGTTTCCCCGCCCCAGGTATATGACAGGGCGTAGTAATCCTCCGGCTGATCCAGACTGGTCTCAACAAGGCTGCAGAATAACGGCGCCTCTTCCTCGTGACTTAGGTGGAGTATAATTAGACGGATAGCCCGCTGATGTGAGAGTGGCTGATAACAGTACGCAGTCATGTTGAGTGATGGCTTAAATGCTACCGACGGACATAGAAGAGGTGATGTGATAGTAGTCGGTTTCTTAGTGAAGAGCCGTCGTTAGGAAAAGAGAAAATGAATCAGGCTGGGCTGAATGAACCGGGAACCAGGACATCATGTTGGGTAAGCAAGCCACCCTTCATGCAGGCTGGACCAAGTATAGTAGGCTCACGAGGCAGGCTCTGTGTCAGCGCTTATGATTCCCTGGCTTGGGCCGAGGAGCAAATGCGAGATGCCCAAAAAGGTTCCAAAGTCTTTGAGCATTTGCACGACAGAAAACAAGCAAAAAAACAAAAGATTTTGCGCCGAGGGGGAATCGAACCCCCGGCTCCCCGACGCTGCTTGATGGCAACGGAGAATTTTACCACTAAACCATCGGCGCTGATGATGTTATTGTGTCTGCTAGAGACCCGGAATGGTAACGAGAGGTCCAGAAGTGGAATATCTTGCGTTATTGTGGGTGACCGCGGGTCCACTGCACCGGGCCTGAGGGTTTGAGATGACCCCACTCAAGATCAAACCAGAAGGGCGACAAGGAAGGCGAGAACAACAAAAATAATGCTAACAAAGATTGGAATAAGAAGTACAGTATGGAGAATATAGGTTATGAAATAAGGCAAACGGGCGTTGTGTCCTTTAGCTGTAAGTCTGGGTGACAATACCAGAAAAATGTTGAACATGAGATGATCACAACCTCGTTTCCCAGCCTCTGAGATTCTTGCAGCATCATTCACGGCCCGCCGAAGCAAGACACCAGAAGACAGTATCCCACTTTGTAGAAATCAACGATCAGTTGATGCCAACACCTAATTGGACCACGAGCCTTTCAAGAATCACCCATTTATCCTCGTCTTTCGCCTTTTCCATGTCATCTGCTTTGGGCTTGAATATTGCCCAGACTGGCAAATACTTGGCGTCCGTCCACTGGCTGCTCTTGATATTGTCAAGCGCCTGCTTCATGTTCTTTTGGAGTCGCAACGCATCAGCCAACCCCACGCACGTGCTGGCCATCCGAGAGTTTTCCTGCCCCTTCTTTTCAGCAAGACGATGCTCGGTTATCCTGGCACAGTAAATTAGCAGAGACGCCAGCCCCGCAGCGAGAGCCGTGCCGACTGATGACCCATCGTGATACTTAACTGGTTCCGATGATCTGGGATTCTTGGCCTCAGCGACTTGATT